TCTGTCCCACCCCTGTCCCCCCTCTCACCCCTGTCCCACGTCCTTCATCCCCTCCCTTTGTCCTTTGTCCCCTCTCCGGTTTTGTCCCCTATCCCCTCCAAGTGCTGTCCCCCGTCCCCGCACTACCCTTGTCCTTTGTCCCCTGCTCCCTGTCCCCTCTCCCTTGTCCCCTTCCCGTGTTCATTGTCCCTTGTCCCTTATCCCCCTCCCATGTCCCTTGTCCCCTCTCCCCCACCCCTTATCCCCTTCCCATGTCCCTTATCCCCTCTCCTCCGTCCCTTGTCCCTTCTCCCGTGTCCCTTATCCCCTCCCTTGTCTCTTATCCCCTTCCCCCATCCTTCATCCCCTCTCCTCTGCCCCTTGTCCCCTGTCCCCTACCCTCTGTCACCCCCCACCCACCCTCTGCTCCTTGCCCCCTCTTCCCCATCGCTTATCCCTGTGCCACCCTCATCCCTTGTCCCCTGCCCTCCGTCTCCTTGTCCCTGGTCCCCTCTCCCCGCATTGCCCTTGTCCCCTGTCCCCTTCTCCTGCCCCTTATCCCCTCTCCTCTGCCCCTTGTCCCCTTCCCCTGTCCCTTGTCCCCTACCCTCTGTCACCCCCCACCCGCACTCTGCTCCCTGCCCCCTACTCCCCATCCCTTATCCCTGTGCCACTCATCCCTTGTCCCCTGCCCTCCGTCTCTATGCACCCTGTCCCCAAGCTCCCCTTGTCCCCTGCCCGATCTTTTGTCCTTTTGCCACCCTTGTCCTCTGTCCCCGCTCCCCCTGCCACCTTTGTCACCTCCTCCCCGGCTCTCGTCCCCCATCCCTGCACTACTTCAGTCCCCTTTCCCCGTCCCCCACCCCCGTCTCCTCTTCCTGCACCATCCTTGTCCCCACTCCTTCTGCTCCTGTCCCTGCATTGATCCCTGTCCCCCCCCATCCCCAACCCCATCCCCTCCGCTGTCCCCATCCCTGTCCCCGTCCTTGTCCCCATCCCTCTGCCACCAATGTCCCCGGCACCGTTCCTGTCCCCATCCCCGTCCCCATCACTGTCTCCATCTCCATCCCCATCCCCGTCCCCCTCCCCGTCCCCCCCCCCCCCCCTTTCCCCCTCCCCCCCCCCCCCACCCCCCCCCCCCCCCCCCCCCCCCCCCCCCCCCCCCCCCCCCCGTCCCCCCCCCCCCCCCCCCCACCTTCCCCTGCCCCCCACCGATGTCCCTTCGCATCCCCGCTGTGCGTCTCCATCCCCGTCCGTGTCCCCGTGCCGACACTTTCCCCGTCCTTATCCCCGTCCTTATCCTCATCCCCATCCTTTCCCTGCGGCTCTCTGTCCTCCCCCGCTCTCCTCCCCCCCTCCCGGGC